GGAGGGAAGTGAAGCAGTGGCTGGTGTGTGTTTGCAGATCAAAGAGCACTGACAGAACAATACCTACACACTGATCAGGTGTGCGTCTTCAGCAGGCAAAGGGCAGATCATTAACGAGAGTTTGAGCTGCTTTGAGGCAGGAATCCTGGAGACGTTTCACATCCAGCAGCAAAAACACGTTTCGCTGTTCTACACTTTAAACTCACTGCTTTAGGTTTATCTTATCATCCGGTGTTGGAGCTAAATCAAATCTACTCTTACTGTGCACGTGCGTGTTGGCACGTCTTTCATGGCTAAACAGTTGTGAAACATCTGACCATTGTCCCTCTGAGGTCAGCTGCTCAAGAGGGCAGAAACGCAGAAGCTTGTCCAATACCTCTGTTGTTGTTTGTTTTTAGATATAAATCTTGAGATTTAATCAAAAAACAAAACAGCAACACTAGAAAAAAGTGTCTTTCTCAACAAAGAGAGGGCTGATCAGTAGGTCAGTGGAGGACTTTAGCTGAAATATTCAGGAGGAGATCGCAGCAGAATGGACCACCTAAAAGCTGTGGTTCTCTTGCATTTGTCTAAAAACCTCCACCAATAACACGTTTTGGACCAAAAGCAACCGTTAGAGCATCCGGTTGTTGGCCTCGCTGAACTGTCGCAGTTCTGCGCTTGCCTCTGTCCTCCATTCATTACACCCTCTTGTATTCAGCAACAGAATACCTCTAGTGTCAGAGGTTCTTCACTCAATAATATCACAGAAGGAGATGGATAGGTGGATTGGTGCTGCGTCTGCAGTGGTGCGGGCGTTGTACCAGTCTGTCGTGGTGAAGAGAGAGCTGAGCTGGAGGTTTATCCACGTTCCCTCACCTATGGTCACGAGCTTTGGGTAGTGACCGAAAGACCAAGATTACGGATACAAGCAGCTGAAATTAGTTTTCTCTGCAGGGTGGCTGGGCTCTCCCTTAGAGATAGGGTGAGAAGCTCAGTAATCCGGGAGGGGCTCTGAGTAGATCCGCTGCTCCTCCATTTGAGGGGAGCCAGTTGAGGTGGCTCGAGCATCTGGTTAGAATGCCTCGTGGAGGACTTCCCTGGTGAGGTTTTCCGGGCACGTCCAACCAGGAGAAGACCCAAAAGAAGACACAGGACACGCTGGAGGGACTATGTCTCTCCGCTGGTCAGGAAATGGTTTGGGATTACCCCTCAGGAGCTGGCCAAAGTGGTTGGGGAGAGGGAAGTCTGGGCCTCCCTGTTTAAGCTGCTGCCCCCGCGACCCAATATTAAAATGGATGGATGGAGAAACAGCCGGCTGCTACCACTTCAGCTTTAGTTCCTAAAAGATAAACACCATTTGAAGTCACGGACAACAAAAGATATTTGAACCTAGAAAATGGCGACTGGTGTTTATTGCACTCTCATACCCTCTGGTAATGAGGGTTTCTGGTTCCGGTGATTCTCGAGGGGAGGGGTGAGTGTTCCCAAGGGCGCCCCCAAGGGGTGGCCAGGGGTGGCCATGGCCATCCCTAGAAAATTGCTAGCCCCCCAGGAAAAACCAGTGTTAACAAATCATATTAATGTTCTGTCGAACCATATATCGATCTACAAGGACTAATTTGGTGCGCCACCCCAAAAATGTCTGACCCCATCTGGCCACCCCTATGAAAATTTTCTGGAGGCGCCCCTGTGTTCCGTGACAAATGTTTGCAATCAAAACCTAGCTTGTTTGCAGAATCACTTTAGCAGCTTTAGTTATCTCAGTGGTCGGTGCAGGTAACCTTTACATCAATTGCACATTGTAATCGGCTCTGAAGCGTATTAAAAGTGTCAGTTTTTGTTGCTACTGACAATAAATTATGCTTACAAAAATATGTGACGCACAAAGGAACAACATTATAAAATAAAATCACATGAACTGTTTGAATTTAGGAGACTGGGGCTGATTTTAGAGGCGGCAGCAGAAAACCTTGGCTGCGTTTGAGCTAGCCGTTAGCTTATCTACTCTATTTCTAGGGGGCTATCTAACAGGTAAAGTAGGAATTATATGTAAAAAAGCTTTAACATAGCTAAAACCATCAGATTTAGGCTCACTAGAGTTCTTCATCATCCTCATGATCTGAGTGTGTCGATGTCTCTCAGTGCAGACCTCTCTCTGGACCACTTTGCTATGAGGAGGTTCTACAACGACAAGCTGTCTACTCTGATGACTCCCTCACAGAAACGGTAAGACTCCTGAACCAATAGTTCCCAAAGTTCAAGTCTGGACTGAACTGTTGATCATAAAACACCAAAGGTTGACTTCACTACCATTGTGAAGCACAAGCACACAAAGTGGCTCCTCCTACTTGCTCCTTCTCAGTGTCAGATTCAGAGAACAATCATTACTCATTAAATATGATCATAACAAAAATTGAAGAAGGGAAGGAAAAGGGAGGAAAAAGCCGTTTTATTCTGAGTGATCTGCATGTCTTAAGGGATGAAGAACAAAGTCACTTTTGAAGTAAAGATTTATTTCCAGCTTTGATATTGAATCAAGGATTAATGTTCAGGCACTTCTAGAGTCTTCATCAGAGTCAGCCCGCCCCAGGAGGAATCATGCTCATCCTCTTATTTGCGCTTTATTTAAAAACAAACATCATTTTACAGGATGAGTTCACTGGGAAACCATTTTTTACTTGTTTTTTTTTTAAATACAATAGGTCCCTCTGAGATTATCATGCTGGCAAACGTGAAAATAATCTTCCAGCCCTATTTCCTGCATTAGCTGCAGATAGACAATAGACTTAAAGATATAAATCCCACAGTTGTCATGCACACTGGTGTGGTGTCCTCTGCATTTGGCCCATCCCCGTGGGGAGGGTGAGCTGCAGCAGTGGCCGTGCTCCGGAACTGTTTGGTGGCTTAACCCCCCAATCCAACTGCCTTAAGCTGTGTGTCAAGCAGGGAGGCATTGGGTCCTATTTTTATAAAGTCTTTGGTAGGACCTGACCAGGATTTGAACTCCAGTCTCCCAGTCCCAGGGCGGACACTCTACCACCATGCCACTGAGATGAGGAAACGCTCGGATTGGAAAAGCCAGTCAGATCTCTGTCAAACAGAAATTTACCTTTCATGGACTCACCCATCTTGGCTTGTAATGGTAAATGGCTTGTATTTGATATAGCGCCTTCTAGAGTGCTGAAACCCCCCAAGGCGCTTTACAACACAATCAGTCATTCACCCATTCACACACTGGTGGGGCTGAGCTGCGATGTGGACGATGACAGAGGCGAGGCTGCAGAGAAACAGGCGCCACCGGTCCCTCCGACCACCACCAGCAGGCAAGGGGGTTAAGTGTCTTGCCCAAGGACACAACGACAGTGACAAACTGAGTGGGGCTTGAACCTGCAACCTTCTGTTTACGGAGCGAGCGCTTAACTCCTGTGCCACCGTCACCCCAACAGTCAACAACAGCCTACCCTTGTGACAGGGTAGTCTGAAAACAGCAAATGCGTTGAAAGAGTGAACTTGGTATTTTACATAGGTCACCTGGATGTGTATTGCGCAGAAAGGCCTTTGCTTGAAAAAAAATTCATAATTACTTCCAAAATATTTTCACCATAATTTCTGTTAAAGCTTAAAATAATTACCACAACTTCCGAACTTCCCAGTGAAGTTTGAATCCTGCAACCAGCTAAGGCTTGCAAGTCTCTGCTGTTGGGATTTAACGGGGAAGGTACCACTGTCCCAAAATACCAGAGGTCAAAGGTTGACCTTTAATCTCAGATGTTGACTCGGGGGTCTGCTGGGACTGCTGACGTCTAGCGCCCTGATTGATCCACGAGTGACATCAGATCCAATCCAATCCAATCCAATTTTATTTATAAAGCGCATTCACAAGGCATTACAACCAAACAAGGCGCTGTACACTAAAAATGTTGGTTAATTAAACAGGCTTTATATAAACATGTCGAACACAGATAAAAGATAAAAAGGAAATACAACAAAATTCCCAAAAATAACAGCTAAAAATCATTAAGACACAGGGTGAAGTAAAAATAGGAAAAAAACATTTTACAAAGAACCTCAATAATACGGAAGTCGATAATTGTGGAGTCCATTTTTAAACAATGCAGATGTCAGTGAGGTTCATAATTATGTATAAGCTAGGTTGAAGTAGTGAGTTTTCAGGCGTGATTTAAAAATGCTAGCTGTTGGTGCTAGCCTCACTAGCAGTGGTAATGTGTTCCACAGCTTCTGTGCACAGACAGAGAAAGCCCTTTCTCCACGGCTTTTTAAACGTGCATTGGGAACAGCTAGGAGGAGCTTATCTTCAGACCTGAGAGCACGCGGCGGGTTGTAGTAATGGACCAGTTCACACAGATATGGAGGAGCTTGATGGTTCAAGGATTTGTAAGTGAGAAGCATAATTTTGAAGTTTATCCTGAACTGCACGGGCAACCAGTGGAGAGATTTCAGAATTGGAGAAATGTGTTGTCTTCTGTCAGCTCCAGTCAGCAACCTAGCTGCTGAATTCTGGACCAGCTGAAGTCTAGAAAGAGCTGCTTTACTGATGCCGTATAAGCAGGAGTTGGAGTAATCCAGCCTTGAAGTGATAAAAGTGTGGACCACCGATTTCAGAAGACGTACACTCAGGATGTGCTTTAGTTTTGAGATGCGTCTTAGTTGGTAAAAACATGATTTAACTGTGTTATTGACCTGGGCATCCATCTTCAGAGCCTGGTCCATTTTTACCCCAAGGTTTGAGATAAAACCTGCAACAGCATCAGTCAACAAAACAAGTTTGCGTGTGCTCCTCAGGTACGTCTGGATGCTGGGCGGCGTGCTGAAACGGGGACTGAGGATGAGTCCCTCTCCGTCCTTCCTCCTCTGCGTCGTTCTTCATGGTCTCCCAAAAATAAGAGCAGATGGAGGTAAACAACAGAAGCATGACCTGCTTGTGGGAGAAGCACAAGAAGTCAAGTCTGATGGGTTTAAATCAAAAATAACTTTTAGCCTTCAGATTGATTCCAGCAGCCTTTTAAACCACATGATGGCGACGTTCCTTTAAACCAACGACTAGCTTTGATCATGTCGAGTTTTGATGTTCCTCAGGGTGCTGCCTGTTCCTGAGAGTCTACCAGAGTCTGCAAGCTGTTTGCACTTCAGCAGTTTAGTAAGAAACACCCTTTAACATGCAAGAGAGTCGTTTAGCAGCAGCACGGAAGGTAAAATGTGTTTTTCTGCATCTCAGCCACGTCAGCGCTGCTCAGAAGGACCGGATCTACTTTGTGCTTCAGCCAGCTCAGCTGCTAAAGGGTGACATCATGGTCAGAAGTGGGATTTTATTCACTAATATCACTGAAGTGGTTTAATTAGTAGCTTATTGTCACTATCATTTTATATTTTACAGTATTTGTGAGGACATGATGACTTCAGCTGCATATTTCTGTTCCCACAACTTATAAACATCACTCAAAAGACACTGACAAAAATATTTTTCAGATATTAGGTTAGATTTAATGAAATATTTTTAATCTGAGAGAAGAAAGGAAAATTTACAAATAATCACAATTTTAATTGTCCTACCGTTTCTGTAAATAATTTTATATGCCTGAAATATAAAACAAAAATATCTTTGGTTTAAGCTTTTTGCATTAAACAAAACTTATTAAAGCCATTTAATTAACAACTTTTCACCATTAATTTGAAATTCTCATGAAACTTTCAAATTTATTCAGACTTTTTTCCTGTTTCAATAAAGGTTATGCAGCTTTTATTGAAAAGTTTGTAATAAATAACACATTTTTTGCTTAAAAAATTATTACTGTTTACAGCGTTAAAAAAACCTTGTTTTGTTTTTCAGTTTCAGAAATGAACGCATTAAATGACTCAGCCTTTGGTATCAGTGGCATTCTACGTTTACAGTAACACTTTAGCTTCGGGAGCACAAATTAACCATTAATTAGCTGCCAATCAATATACATATTAGTGGACTACTAAGTCTGAACAAGTCATTATTAAGCACTTATTAACAGCTTATTACCAATGCCCTAATTCTAATATTAACAGGCCATAAATTAAGAGTTTTATCAAAATAAGCCATTCATAATGGTTTGTTGCTGATTCACACACATACCAATTAGCTCAAATCAATATGTGGTTTTTAAAGAAGTAATTCGAGGGGAACATACTCTTGGTTACAGGTGGTTAATTGATTGTTATTTAGGCTCTATTAACATGTGGAGTTTGTTGTTTATTGTAGCGTGTTTAACTACATACTAGATTTAACGCTGTTTGCTATCAGCTTTGTTAGATTCTGAGAAAAGATCAAACAAGTTGACAACGAAGCTTCTATCATATATAAATATCTAGGATATTATATATTCAATAGAAGTTCATATGTCGACGAGCTTGGTCTATATTTTAATCCAAAGATTAATGTTTAATTTAAGATAATTAAATTTAATAGCAAAAGTTTATTTATTGAATCAGAAGTTTAAAGGAATCTTTGCTTTTTCAATAACCAGAAATATATACACCATTCTGTGTTTCATTTCAGAGAAGAGTCAGGTTTTTAAAGTTAAGTATTTATTACTAACACTTTTAAAAATTACTATTTGAAATGACCATTTTTAACAGACAATTTGATATTAAAACTTGTTTTAAAAAGCAAACCTGTGACTGGATGGAAGCTAAAATGAAAATGCCAGGTTTTGGATGTGTGAATGAATCTCTGAAGGTTTCTTTCAGCGAGAGAAGCGTTCTGGGTGAAAGTTGGTTTTGCAGCTAACTGAGTCGTTTCTTAGGAAGAACAGCATACAGACGCCATCTGTCAAAAGTGTCTACCTCACCCAGTTCAGGAGACCCTCTTCTGGATCCGAGATGTCAGGTGGAGATGGTTTCCTCCGGGCACGAGGTTGGTAGAAGGACCTTAGTGCGACCAAATCGGTCCTGAGACATCTCCGTGGGCCACTCGACTGGTGAAACTATTTACGCCTCAAAATCAATAACTCTGAAGGAGTTTGGCGTCAGCTGGTTACAGTTGCGTTTATTCGAAGCAAGTCTATCGGCGTGACAGAATGCTTAGTAGAGACTTGGACGGCCATCCTTCTTCTCCTGGGATGGTTCAAGAACGGAACTTACAGCTGCGGGATTTGGTTTTAACAAACCCCTCAGAACACGCCCTCTCAGCGTCAGAAAGCTTGGTCATGAAGTAAAGACACGTAAGATGGTTTAAACTTTACCCTGGATACCCTCTGAATGAGGTGGTTAACGTGCAAGATGACCTTCTGGTTTACTGAACACACATTAGGATTATCAACAATAATTATTATTACACCCAAAGCATAATAAGTATTTCAGTAATTAAAATACATTTATACTGAACCAAGAGATTATTTATGATGGTTGTAATATACAGTAATAAAGTCAAGAGTTTATTAAAATTATTATTTAAAATTATTATTGGGAAATCTTGAAGTGTCCTTCATCTTGGGACGGAACAGCAGCAGATAAAATGTTGTTCAGCAGACATCACGGCTCCTGGCGGGTTAATCTGTGGGCAAAGTTACAGTTGGACCCAGCTTGACCAGCTGGGAAAATGTGACCTTCATCACGAATTAGAGGCCATTCATGACGCTACATTATTTACACAAAACCAGAACAGAATATTTTTGGTTATTAACTATTGCCCTTGAATTTCTTCTTTAAAAACCACATATTGATTTGAGCTAATTGATATGTGTGTTAATCAGCAACAAACCATTATGAATGGGTTATTTTGATAAAACTCAATTTATGGCCTGTTAATATTAGAATTAGGGCATTGGTAATAAGCACCTAATAATAGCTTAACAGTGACTAATTCAGACTTAGTAGTCCACTAATATGCCTATTAATTGGCAGCTAATTAATGGTTGATTTGTGTTCCAGCCGGGATCAGAACTTGGACGATTAAACAAAAAAACATCTATCTCTGTATGTCATCATTGCTCATTAGTTCCTTAACGGATTGTTGTTTCCTCTACCTTTTTATGCTAATTTGTGAACATTAAACCGTAAAACTGTGTTTATCATTTAAAAAATAGAATAGACACGCACTGACTGGTTGGAGGTGATTTGCAGAAACCTTTTTGTAATTTTCCTCATTAAGAATCAGAATCAAATCTGGCTGAAGCGAGCAGCAAGCGGGACATTTACCATCATGATTATGATTTTAGGTCGTGTGTTATGACATAAACATCCAGTCGTCCAGCCGCCGGGTCGTCTTCCGTCTCCAGTTCCACACGGGTCTCCTGCTCGGACACTCCCTCTCGTTTTCCAAGGTGGACCTGGACTGCGCCTGCGCAGGTATTTACCACCTGCGGTCGTTTCAAGCTCCACTCTTAATCTGTTACTGATAAATCTGTGGGCTTGCTCACCTGAGACCGTGTCAGCTGTGCAGGTGTGAGGGACAAACAGTCACAAACGTCTCACTTCCCTCTCCCCTGTCCAGATCCTCGGTTCCCAGATGACGGAAAAGTGGATCTGTTGTTTTCCGAGAGCCCTGACGGGATCACAGGTAGAGTCTCTCACAGTGGAATAAGATAAGTGGACGGGGACGAGTCGGTTCCAGTTTATTCTTCTTTGATCGTTCTCGCTTCATGATGAGGTTTTTCATTTACAGAAAGACTTTTATTTAGGCTCAGACAGATTTTAAATACCAACAAGGACCAAAGATCTTCTGCACTGTAAACCAGCTGGTTTGCACGTACGTTTTGATGTGCATCATCACACCTAGGGTTTCTTTGCCCTTTATCCCTCGTCTCTGCTGTCGTTCAGGTGTATCACAGGTTCATCAGAGGCTTTTTTACTCTTTCATTTAGCCTAAATAAAGAAAACACTAAAATAAAACAAGCTCCAAACAAAAAACAGAGTCAGAAACTGAAAATCTGCTTTAATGAACCCGTATTTATAAAAAGAGGCAGGGAACTTGATTTAGTTGATAGGAAGATTTAATTTTTTAAATTGAGAGTCTGAAAACCAGCGTGTCAGGGGGCATTGGCGGCCCTCTATTTCCCCCCCATGGCTCCGCCTGTGTTCCTACAACATGTTTGATAGAACTGGGTTTATTCTGGGATGTGACGGGATACGGGAAGCCTGGGAACTCATAGATGTATTTAATGCTGCTGACAGGAATGGGGAAGAGAGGAAACAACCGCGTACATTTCACCTAAATAAACCCTAACTTCAGCTTTGGTCCGTTTTTCTGTAGCTTTTCACGCTTTTATAAAACCAACCAATCAGCATGTTTTACTTCAGGCATTCAAAGGGCCTTTGTGAAGCGCCTTGGGGGGTTGTAGAACCCTAAGAAGGTGCTAAACAAATACAGACAATTTATGCTCCGAGTCTTTTTAATATGAGGCCAATTTGCAGCTGTACAAATAAAAAAATTCTCCATAAAATAATTTTAAAGGCACACTTGTCAGTTTTGCTTGCTTTTAGCACCCCCTAGTGGCAGTTATTAATCCCCCTAATCTAAACGTCTCCCCAGCCTTTGCTATGTCTGCATGAGTGAATGCTTGCTTAGTATGAGGATTGCTGTAAAGTCACTGACACTAGACAGCGACTTGATGCAATTTGCTGGGTTCCTTATATCAGGGGTGCCTCCAGAAAATTTTGATAGGGGTGCCCAGACGAGGCCAAAGAAATTTTTGGGGTGGCACACCAAATAGGTCCTTGTGGTAACTCTGGGAGAATTTAGCCTGTGGCGATGTATTGCATTGCTCCTTTATTTGTTTTTAATAAAAAATAAAAAATAAAAAAACCACAGCACGTATCCAAAACATTTAACTACAATTTTACAAACACAAACTTTTCAGAAAAATACATTTCAGTTATTTAAATGTTATTTAAATTTTTTTTGGAAAATGTATTTTTTTGTTTAATTCAATAATTAAACTAAAAAAAAATACATTTTCAAGTAAATGTTTACCTGTTGCTGTGTTCACAAAAAAACTATGGACATAAATTTTTTTTAAAAGGGCGAGCAGCAGAAACATATGTATTTTTAAAGTTCTGATTATTTCTTTGTTTTACAATTATGTCTTGAATAAATAAGATCAATTTATGGTTTGAGTGAACATTAATATGATTTATTAACACTGGTTTTTGCTGGGGGGGGGGGGGGGGGGGGGAAGCAATTTTCTAGGGGTGGCCATGGCCACCCCTGGCTACCCCTTGGGGCTGCCATTGCCTTATATTGGAAACTTTTTTCTGATTGGCTTAATGAACCGACCTGCATTGGAATGTTTACTATGTGAAGTGCCTTGAGACGACTTGTTGTGATTTGGCGCTTTATAAATAAAATTGAATTGAATTGAATTGATTCATCACTAAATTAAACAAATCAGCTGTGTTCATGAGTCAGCTCCCAACAGAGCGGCCCACCAGTCTCAAGTTGCAAATCCGGTATTCTGGCCACAGAGGGCGGCGAAGTGACATGTCAGTAACCGTGTAAAGGGTCATTTCAGCACAGACTGGCTCAAGAAGATGGTTTAAAAATGTTCACAGTGTGGCTTTAACATTTTTTAAATAGAAAACAAAAATCAGCTTTTTTGTGGACTTTTAAATCGATGACTTTTGTGCCCTTTTGATGGGAAACGCCGTTCTGCTGTAAAATCAGCTTGACTGGTTCTTCCTCTTGCCTCTAAAGAATTCTGTATTAAGAGCTAAAAGATGATCATGAGAACTACACTTGCTGCTGTTCCTGCTCAAGGATTCGTTCAGTTACTACTTCTATATTGTGACCATGTTTGATTTGTTGTGTTTGCTTCAAGTCTTGATTTGCTGCCTGTAACACAAACTGTTAAAATGTTAAAGTTGCATTTTACAAGGGAAACTGGGAAAAGCAGAATATGGTGCAAAAGTTAATTTACGTCAGTAATGAGACGAATATATGAGATTTAAAGCTTTGATTTGTTATAACTGTGATGATTATGGCTTTTAAAACCCACTTTTAAAAAGTCAGACAGTTACAATATTACATGAAATATTTAAATATAGACTTATCAGAACCTGGAATCTGTCCCTTTTGCTCTTCTTACTGACCTAAATGAACACTTCACATTAAGGGTCCCTTTATTAATGTTATGTGGGGCATTATTAAGCATTATTAAACAAGGATACCCTTATGAATGTTTCTGATATTATGGACTATTAAATACCATTTAGGTTAGGACAAGGGGCCAGGGGGTGCGTCAGCTCAGTAATGCATTAACTTAATAGTTGTTGATATTTTTAATAGTTTATTAATGCTTAGTAAAGGACCATTACTACGAAGTGAAATGAACTTTTGCACAATTTTAAAATTTTTTGAGTTTCACTTGCAAAAAATGGATTCAGTTTTTGTATCTGAAGCAAACATTTTTGGGAGATTTGATCCAGTTTTCATTTCTAGATGCTAAAAAACAGAAACTTTCTGACTGCAAAGAAAATAAAAGATCTTATCCCTGATTCATGCAGAACAGATTATATAACTAACACACACACACACACACGCACGCACGCACACACTCACACACACACGCACACTCAAACACATGCGCGCACGCACACACACACACATGCACGCGCACACACACTCACACACATGCGCACACACACATGCACACACTCACATGCACACACACGCACACACTCACATGCACACACACGCACGCACGCACACACACACATGCGCGCACGCACGCACACACACACACACACATGCACGTGCACACACACATCAGCCAGATGGGGGCGGTGTTGGACCCCTGGACACCCCCCCGCCCACCCCTCAGCAGCAGAGCCCACCCCCCTCCCAACAGGAAGTAATTGGGGGTTAATCAGACACACATCTGACAGGAATTCAGACACATAAACACAATAACTTCTGATTTAAATGCACATGGAGTCAGATGAGTGTGTGTTAATGTTGGTTTCCCGGTGCAGGTAGGGAGCTGTGGCACAACGGGAACGCCGTCACCATGGACTACGACACCCTGGACCCTCTGGTCAGACGAGACTCTTACCAGGACTTGTTTGGTCTCCAGTCAGGTGAGGTGTTTTAAACCCTCTGCAGAAGCAGCTCAGCTACACTTTATATGTGATGCCAAATTAATAAACATAAACATAAACGTGTTTCTGGTGGAAACAAACAGATAAGCCTTACGTTATCCCGGGCTGCTCCACTGAATCCTTCAGTTTGGACCCTGGATTTTTCTCTGGTCACCAGTGACACTGTTTACCGCCGTGTAGATCAGGGAACCCTCCAGGATGCTCCTGGGATCGGGAGAAACAGACCTGACCCATGCAGTTTTCCTCACACACACACACACACACACACACACACACACACACACACACACACACACACACACACACACACACACACACACACACACACACACACACACACACACACACACACACACACACACACACACACACACACACACACAGAAGGAGCCGGCTGGCACCATCCTGGGTCAGGAATGTTGTTTTCATGCACAGGTGGTTCTCCTTCACCGTCTCCCATTCCTCCCATCTGCTCCATCTCCATCGTCTTTTCTCCTCTTTTCTTCTCAGGTTCAAGTTGCAGGTTTGTCCGGGACTTTTCCCATCCCCCTTTCGCACACAGCCTCTTCAAAGCCCGCCTCCTTGTTTACATTCCCTCTCTAAATCTGGGCAGCTCCAGGTCCCTACTTCTGTTTTCCTCTTGAACGTGCATCATGTGTGCAGATCACTCTTCCACCGACGTGTGGCGAGCGATCCGCCCTCTGGTTTCCTTCCTCTGCTTCCAGATGAAAACACATGCTCCACACAGCTACCTGGGACAGGATGCAGGCAGGGGGGAGGGACCAGAACAAAAAAATAAAAAAGGACAGAAAAAGGCGGGGATTGGTAGTGCTGAGGGGAAAAGAGAGTGGTAGGGGGGGCATGGAGGGCTGCTAGCACCTTAAGAGCAGGAATGCAGTCTTCCTGCTGCAGCCTGAGGACGACAGGAGCAGGAGGAGAAGCTCTCCTGAAGCGTTACATCTGATTTCTCTCATCCTCATTAAGGTTCTCTTTCTTTTTCTGCTCCTCATCTGTTTCCCTTTTCCTGTTCCTCTGACTCCCGAGGGAGGCTTCATAAAAGCATTCCCATCCTGTTTCAGAGTGGACAGTGAAAGTTTCCTCCTGGCTGATGGTAAAGTAAGCTGCTGCTTTTTAAAAATCATTCCTGAATTCTCAGATTGTGGACTCTGTGTGTGTGTGTGTGTGTGTTGGGGGGGGGGGGGGGGGGCTCTCAGTGCAGCTGTGAGGTTTCACCATGCATGTCTGGTATTTGGGTTTTATTGCTTCTCTGGACCTCATACAGCTGTGGTATGCTGCAACATGTGTGTCGTTGCTGTTTTTATGCAGGAAAACCCGTCTTATTAAACTCTGATCATAGAAAATGTTCTGCTACTACTTTTATATATTTAGATTTCTTTGGGTGAAACTGAAAACGTTTGAGGAACTTAATATAATTGAGTTTGTAGACACATTTGACAGATTTATTGTCTTCATGCTTTATCGTTGTTTTCTAAGACCTGCAGATGTGATCTTTTAGTTGTACGAACTGTGTGAGCCAGTCGGACCCGAGGTTTGTGACGGACGTCAGCCCTCACACACCGGCCCGTGTGTTTTCTCCATCGAGTGTGTGCGGGGTCGTGAAACATCAATCAGACCAGAATGACAAATAATATTTAGCCTTTTTAATTATCGTTTATTTGAATGAACAGCTGCACATATCTAATTAAGAGAAGCATAAAAAACAAGATTTCAGTTTTTACTTTTACCTGATTTTGCTCCTAAAACCAGGAAATGCTTCAAAAATGCAAAAAATAAATAAAAAATCTAAAGTGACTGAATAAATCTTTTTAGCACCTTCATTGTTTATTTAAACCTCGCAAAACTTCCTGTTTTTCAGTTTTCTAAAATGTGTTTGCAGTTTTACTAGTTTTCTTTATAAAATTATGAATGAGTGAAACTGTAAACGAGGCCCTCTGTGACGCATCATCATCCTGAGAACCATCAGCTGCTTAAGCTGAGACACTAAATGAGTTTTCTCCTGCTCCACGTGATGAAAATGCCTGACTGATCTCTTTCCTACAGTTCCTGCTCCCATCCTGGAACCTGGAAATGAAAGTTTGCATTCCAAAGTGAGGAAGAAGAGCGCTGAAGAAGCAGCTCCGTCACCCCTGACCACCGGCATTCCGAGCTACAGCGACAGAGTTCCATCGGCCAGCAGCGACTCCGGCCTTTCCGTTGCCTCGCAGGGCCGGACCGGAGCCAGGCAGAGGACCGGGGCCTCGCTGGACAACTGGACCCAGGTTGGGAGGCTGATATCTGGGCTGGACTCTGAAGCGACTCATTTTCTTCTGGAGGTGATGACTGAACTTGCTTCGTCCTGCCAGGGTGGAGGAGACCTGGCTGGAGACGAGTCTGGACCGGGGAACACCATCAACGGAGGCGCTTCGCCCAACGAGAGGGAGACGGACATCCTGGATGATGAGGATGAAGGAGGAATACGTTCTGCTTTGGAGATTCCAAGCCCGAGTAGCATTTGCTCACTGTCATCTGAAACCCCGCTGGAAGCTCAGAGACCTACCAGAACAGAGTTCTCCACCGATTCCTGGGTGAGGCAGCAGCAGTCGGTGGAAGGCGTTTTTCTTCCTGTGGGTGGAGCAGCAACGCTGAAGAAAGAAAGACCGCCACCTCTGGTTGCTCCTGACACGCCGCCTCGAGGACTAAGCAGCAGGGAAGCAGTGCAGAGAGGGACCAACGTACAGTCTACAGCCTCATGTGGGCAGGAAGACGATGTGGCCTCACTAGCTACAGACATCGATGAGTCCATAGAGCAGCTGAACCAGCTGATTCTGGACTTGGATCCCACTTTTGTTCCTGTTCCGACCCGCTGTTCCGCCCTGTCCCGTTCCGCCTCCCTGCAGACCAACGGCGTCAGCCACAAGGGCCAAAACCTTCTGTCAGGTAAGCTTTCAAAAATGTTAACACTGTTCCCCCCTGGTGGACTGGAAGACCAATTGCAGCTTTTATTGGTTCGGCTACGTTTACATGCAGCCAATATCCGGGTTGTGATCGGGTTAAGGTCGGGATTCGGGTTTCTGAGTTGATCAGAATAACCCGTTTACAAGCATAAATAGAAAGAGTTACCCCTAACTTGCATAACCCGATTTAAATGCGGACGTTGGGGTAGCGTCAGGACGTATGGACTACGTGAAGACGGAATATGCGTCATTTCCGGTTCTTCTTGTTCCGGTATCCGTGAAAACAACAACATGTTTCCCAGTTTGGAAGAGATAGCGACCTCGTTTGTTTGCGCTTTAGTTTCCTCGTCACTCCAAAAGTGTGGTGCTGTGCCGCAACTCGCCATGTTGCTCCCAACTTGTTGTTTACTTCCGGTGTTCTGGCGCATACAAGACGTCTCGCCACTCAAAAGACCAAGATTCCTTGCGAACAGAGCATGCGCAGAACACACTCTGTGATGGGGATATCCCGGTATGCGTTTGCACGACCAAACATTCGGGTTAGAAAAGGGTTACCCCAGGTGTAGTAACCGGGTTTTTAAAAACCCGGTTATGAGCATATCCGGGTTTTTGGCTGTGTTTACATGGCCATGCGGAACCGGGTTATTGTGAATATTCAGGTTTTAAAAGGGTTACTGGCTGCATGTAAACGCATGCAGAAATCTTTATTTAGCATTCGACTCTTTGAAAGAGCAGCATCTAACATTATTATTATTATTATTATTATTATTATTATTAATAAAGTAGTACTTAAAGTGAAATGATGCCTGATAAATAAAAGTGCTGAACTGACCGAGCTATTGTTGCATTCCTCGTTTAGTGAAACACCTGCAGCAACATGTTCATGGTAGTCTGCATCTGATTAACTCACCTCGTGTAAACTACAGCTTTCCCAAAACAACTGAAGCAGCGCCTGAAAGTGGGAATCTCCAGCGGGGTTTGGTGCAGGAGTGTTTGCTGAAAGGGTGGAAGCGTTCCAATGTTGCCAGATCCAAAATCCCACAATATCGTACAGAGAGGCCTAAATTATCGTTTTTCAGTACAAACTATCGTACATTATAAATTTGATAATAATGTTCTATAAACGACTTCTCACTCCAATATAATATAACAAAGAAGGTGTTTTATATTGTCCTGTTTAAATAAACATCTTTAAAACCAGTAATATATTGCCTATAAACGTGCAGAGTGTGTCGGCACCACTCCTACCTCCACGCATTGACACAACATGCACATTTGCGCAGTCCTATTTATGTCATTTCTACATAGGTTAAACGCACGCGACAAAACATCACACCAAAGGAAAAACTTACCCAATAAATGACAAAGCAGCCTACTCACCGAGTTCCAGAGTCAGTTTTTGTAATAGACACAATAGCATAAACCTGTAAGCACTGAGGTGAAATCTGACTTCAGAACAGTTTAAAATTATGTAATGGACTTGGGAAAGCCACAGCAAAAGACGGTGTTACTAGATGCAATGTGAAATTATCGTACATTTGAGGATTTTTGAAACTATTGATCGTACATCGTACAGAGCCCAAAATTATGGTACAAATACGATAATTATCGTACATCTGGCAACGCTGAAGCGTTCCGTTCATCAGCCAGGACGTAACAGCTTGTGTTTATTCTACGTTCTGTATGAGACGTGTGGAAGTGTAAAAGCTGGGAAAAACGCAGCAGAGCTGCATCGAAACAAGAATCTGTGTGACTGCGGCTCATATTTTATCCCGCACCACTTCAGAAGAATCTTTTTTATGCAGCTAAAGGCAGTGAGCTGATTTTTAGTTTGTCTAATTCACATTTTAGAAGATTTGCAAAACTCTTCTGTGAAACACTCTAATGAAAAAAATGCCGTCGGCTTGTTTAGCAAAGAGTCTAATTTAGCCTGTGTGATGAATGTTCACCTCATCCAATACTGAATAATAAGTCACGTTATTTACTTTTGTGAAATTCACAACTTGAACTAAATACACTTTTCTTAAGAACCTCAGCTGAAAGTCAGACGTGTTTTCGGTTTAATCCAACTCGAAAAAACTTCTCTGGATGAACTACACAACTTTCGTTGCCTCAGGGGGGCGGAGAGCACCCTAAAAGATCCCTCACACCCTCCCTGTGTCACACCTTGTCCTGTCTCCCCTTATGGTTTAGTCATGTGCCTCTGTTAATTGCTCCCACCTGCCTCTCGTTTTCCAATCACCCAAGTTCCCAACCCTCTTGTATTTAAACCCCTTCAGTTCTTTGTCTCGTGTTGGATCATTGTTTCTGTGTCAGCGTGTCGTGTATTAAAGCCTTGAACCGTTCCTGTCTGCCTGCCTTCTTCACCCGTGTTTGGATCCTTACCTCCGCTTCGCACTCCAGCACGTCTGACACCCTGCTCATGATTTGGTCCAACTACTGCCATCAGGCAAGAGATACAGGAGCATTAAAACCAGGACGAAAAGACTACACGGCAGCTTTTATCCTGTGGCTATCAGGGCACTGAATGGCAATTAACCCCCCCACCCCCACCCCCACCCCACATTCTCAAGTCAATTTTATGTGCAACCAACACATTCTCACTCCCAGCGCGTCAAAAAACAAACGTTTGGTCAGCCACCCTCCGCCTCAGACCCTTGACGCCAAAAGTGCCCTTTTTCGTCACTTATGTACAAAAAGGGGGTTTTCCCCTTATTTGACTGCAGATCCCAACGCAGCGTTACACTGACGCGATGGGATGTCCACAGCCAGGGCACCAAACAAGCTCATTGTACCTCACCCTAACCTCATCCTCTTATTTAACCTTCCCCTCACCCCTATCCTAACCATAACCATCTTGCTAGCTAACACGTTAGCGATGTGTCGGTCGCTCTAAAAGCCGACTAGGAGATGATGTTGGTTAGAGGGCGTAAAGAAAGGTGGTTGTGAATAGGAACAAACCAGGATTCACTCTCTTAAAGGAGTTTATTTAACTAAAAGGGTCACTGCTTTATGCAGGAAAAGGATAAAAGGTCACAAACACATAAAGAAATCCAAGACTGGGGTTTCCTAAATGAATGATAATAGTAAACACAAAGCGCCGGGGTTTAAGCCGGGTAGGGAAAAGAGCAAGATTAACACAAAAAGCTCCACCAAAACGGGGAGCTAGATCTCTTTAACGAGAATGCCAAATAAACACAAACGAGCTCTAGAGACTAGGAAGAGTTTATCTATACCACACAGGTAACCGAAGCGAGACTTTAACGTCTGGTCGAGGAGGGAAAAAGGAGCGCAAACTCTACTGCACCTCTTAGGTGTGTTCTTGCTGTGTATTAGTACTAATTCCATGCCGTCGTTCTTTTTAAAACACAGAAACGGTTTCGTTACCTGTTTTGTCGCTACGTTTCGCCGGCGGCTGCAGGCTTCTTCAGGCTGACACTGATGGTGGGGCGTCACTTCCTTCTCCTTCTTCTACTGCACCTGTTCTCTTCTGAACTCCCCCCCCCCCCCCCCCCTTCTGTATCACCTGGCGCTCCCTTTTAACAAGGAGCATCCCTGATTTGGATCAGCTACACCTGGCTCAGCTAGAGCCAGGAGAACAGGTAGTCACGCTGAGGCCACCCAGTGGCCACAAACAGACGGCGTCTGTTACAGGGAGCCGCCTCGTCATTGGTCGGGTTTGGACCGAGCCAACTCGAGGGGGAGGTTTCAACTACCAAGGTGGAGGTTAAAAGTAGAGGGTACTTGTAACCTCCCCCTCGCCAGATGGTATGTTCTAACGTTCCACTTGGGCGGCAAATACGAAAATTCACAGTCAGAATGCGTGGGAAACAAACGCTTGATCACAGTGAGAGTAACGTTTTAGGTAGCAAGAGGGTTAAAGTTAGGATGACGGTGAGGGGAAGGTTATAAATAGTGAAACGTTAAGGTATAGGTGCGGTTAAATGAGCTGGTTCGGTGCCGCATCAGCGGAAATCCCATCGCGTCAGTTTTACGCTGCATTGGGATCTGCAGTCAAATAAGGGAAAAACCCCTTTTCACACATAAGTAACAAAAAATGGAACTTTTGGCGTCTGGGGTCTGACGCGGAGGGTGGCTGACCAAGCGTTTGTTTTTGACGCGCTGGGAGTGAGAATGTGTTGGTGCAACATATAAATAAACTGGTGCAATATTATTATGTACCGTAATTTCCGGACTATAGAGCGCACCTCAATATAAGCCGCACCAACAAAAAAAGAAGGTTTTCTTCACACACACACCGCACTCAAATACAAGCCGCGGCGCAGCAGCCACATGCAGGTCTCCGGCGCACAGCGCATGTACGGCCATAACATAAGATAATTAGACAGAAAGACGCGACACGGAGGTTTTTCGTTGTTGTTTTAATTCAACAAAACAATTTTATTTTATTTTTTTTAACCGTGTCCTGTCTGGCTGTGAAGCAAGCAGAATTGATGTCTGAATGATGGTGACAAGCCTTACAGATTTACTCTCAGGTGGAGCATTAAAGCGTTTGCTTTTAATGTCACGCCTGATACTTAAAACTTTATTGTTATTGTTGTTGAATGCTTTGTAATTCCGACCAGACACGGAGACAGAGGTGAAAGAGAAAGGAAAAGAAAAGGTGGGGAGAGAGGAGGAGGAGGGGGGGGGGGGGTTCCACAAAAATAAACAATAATGAACAAGAGTCTGCTTTTAGACCTGCAGAAAAAGACAAAAAAAAAACAAAAGGACAAAAAAGGGACACAACAACGATACAACAAGATCAAGCTATCACTGCGTCAACTTGATGAGGAAATATATAATCAACATTGCTTAACTGAAGAATCACGATAATAAATCACAGTGCATTAAGTGCCCACCATAGTCTTAAGACCTGTGTTGAACGTGCCCAAGCCCATACTTTTGAGAGCACCATGTGAGCACCTGTGTGTGTACACGCGCTTGTTTATTTAAGGTTTCTCTATAGGAGCGTCCAATAGA